GCCGTTATTTAAGTTGTCAAGAAAGACATAACACGGCCTGGATGGAGGACCTCAGTGAGCACAGGACCAGGCTGCACTGTGAACATCTGGAAGAGGGAGGGGGAACTAGCTGCACAGGTTCAAGAGGAGGACACCAAGGTCATCATCCCTGGGTCCTGGGGTTGCCAGAGGAACCTCCTTCACCCGTCATTAAGTTCCTGCGATGAAGATGAGGAGGACTGGAGGGAAGGTGAAGATGTTGTGGGGTGTGGTATGACGCAATCTGGGCGGGTTGGTGGGATGGCTGCATGGTTACTGTGCTGTGCAGTTTATTTACCAGTCAGGCAGAGAAGGGGAGCAGCCAGCCTCACACCCGACCGTGAGCTGAATGCCAGGCCCTTGCTCCTGTTCTCCGAGATGCCGTTGTGTGGTGAACTCCCAGACCTGGACTTTCCTGGGGGCGGAGCTCCTCTGAAGGGTGATGGGTCCCAGTGACGCAGCAGGGGGCGCCATTTTCAGGAAACCACTTGTCACTGCGCTGTTATTTTAACTCCTAGATGGATAGATACTTCATTGATCCCATGAGGGAAATTGCAGTGCATGTCACTACAACTCACGTCAGCGCAGTATTTCCAATCCTCGTGTCAGAAATTAATGGTTCATTAAAAATACTCTCTAGCCAAGTTAAAACTTTTGCTAACGTTCTCTGTAAGAATTTAGTCTCTAGTGCTACTTAGAGGGTTGCAGGACCTGGATCAAGGTCAGTGGGTTGAGAATATATATATATATACGATAGCGTTGGCGTTAATATACGGCTCATTTTTGCCAAAGTGCACCACCATCTCTTGTTCAATGGTGTATTTATAATTCTCTGGCAGAGGGCTGTAGCAGTTTTTGTACAGCTTCCTAGTCTTGTCAAGTTTGGGTTTCAGTTCCTCTAGAGTAGTTAGAATAGGCTGCATTTTTTCATTAACAAACTCGTTGATGACATTTTTGCAGAATTTCAGGACGCCGTTGTTAATGACGTGCTCACCCCGTCCTGACCGTTCGCCGGTGTCCCTAAGAGTGTTTGCGTCATAATTGGGGTTCAAAAAGCTCATCTTCTTCCTGGTGTCCTCCTGCACCTGAGCCTCATTGAGAACTCTGCGAGCTCTGGCCGACTGGCTGCTGACCTTGTCTGCCCAGTCGTTTCCACCGCGATCAGTGGACTCCTCCCTGGCTAGCTGGAGAACACCTTCATCCTGGTCCTCCCGGAGCTGCTGGGCGCCTGCAGAGGGGAGGTGAAACTGACAGTTCTGCAAGGTTCCGCCCCAGAGAGATCTTTGCAGTGCCGTACTCTGTGTTTGGGCGGGGCTGGCCTCTCTGAGCCCCGCACCAGGCAGAGAGAGCTGAGCTGCTGCTCTGTATAAACCTGAGCTCTGCCTCTGCCCCTGTCTCTCAGAAACTCAGACTGTTAGTACCACTGAATCCTGGCTAAGGGCTTGAATTCCTGCCCTGGCTTTCAGTTCACATTTTCCCTCATATTCACCTTTCCAGTGGTTGAACTGTTGCATGTTGGTGCTTAAACTTGTTTTCTCTACTGTCAGCCCTGTATGACTCCTGGACACTTAAGGCTTACAGCAATTCTTTCTAAATCTTTTTTTAGCTGTATCTTCTTACTGTTTTAAAGATGCAGCATTTACTTTTATTCATTTGGCAGAAGCTTTTCTTCAAAGCGACTTACAATCACATCCAGTCACGAGGCAGAGTGCAGATAAAAGTAGTTTAACACGACAATACAATTACAGACAAGAAGCGGGTGATGGGACAAACCACAGCCCTGGTCCTGAAGGAAGTTTCTGAATTTCATTCCAGCTCTGGCTGGGGATTCAGACCCATTTCTGGGATCCACATCTGCTCTTATGAAATCAAACCACTGGCGAACTGTGAGACCATGTCAGGGCATCACCCATTCAACACCCAGTGAGAGAAACGTTTGATAAAGTCACCCTTGACTTTATCAAAAGTTGTTTTTTTCTTTCATCTTTTTGATTATTCTGCTCTGTCTCCTTCGCCATGATGTCCACATACGCTTCATTGCTGTTCATGAGGTTGACAAATGATGCAATCTACCCACAATACCCACAAGGCAGCACTGGGAGAAAACGGATGGCATTCTGGCGATCTGTTCTGGGACAGGCTCTGGGCTCTCCACAGCCTTCCCCAGGAATAAGCAGCTTTCAGTCATGGATGGATGGATTGATGAATAGAAGAATGGATAGAAGGTTTAATTAATGAATGAATGACTGGCTGGATTGTCGGATGGTTGAGAGGATGAATGAATGGGGGGATGGATGAAAGGATGAGTGAATGGGTGGATGGACTGTTGATGGATGGATGAATAGGTGGATACATACAATTTTGGTTACAACACAGGATTTTTCAAACCCTGGGAGTGCAGAAACAGTTTAGAATGGTCCTAATCAACCAGATAGTTCAATTAACTGCTCTATCAGCTGGATCCAGAACCTGACGAGACAGTCCCTCTGGGAACTGGGCTGGACTCCCTGGGAACACCAGGATTGGTCAGCCGACTGACCTGTGCCGATGGCTTCCCTCTTCTCAAAGCCTCCGGATGACAGCTCAATGTCTCGGATGAAGCCATGGTCCGCAGTGGCCAGAGTGGCGGTCAGCTCCAGTCCGGCCAGCACCGCGCAGAGGACGGCCAGCTGGGAGATGAGGGAAGAAGGCGAGTTAGCAGTGGGAACAGGTAAGAGAGGTCACATTAACAGCGGGTGCCTTACAGGCAATCCAGCCAGCAGAGCCTTCAGGAGGTCAGGGTTCAGAGGTCAGGGGTCAGCGGTACAGTCTTTCAGCTGTGCCCTCCTGTTATTTTATTTTTGGTGTGACCGGATTTTGTGGGCCAGAATGTCCCAACTAGAAGTCACCAACCGGGCCGCAGAACTACCACAGGGCAAGAAAACAATAACAGCTGTCTTCCTCTGAAACACTCACATGTTGGGGCCCCAAAGCACCTCTGGTAGCATCTCAGAACGGGGGGGCAGACACAGCCACCCCAGCCAACTGGCCTCCTGAAGCCCCACAACCCTCTGGTCCGCTCAGGTACTGACATACAGTGCAGCAGACATCCCTGCTACAGGAGATCCGCAGCCCCAGGGCTCTCTAGGTCATCGTTAAAGCCCTAGTCCAGTGTCTAAAGACAGCAGAGGCCACGACCACGATCAGCGAAGCAGGGGAATCGGAGATCATCTGGAATCTCCCGTGGGAAGGGGTCCATGTTCTCACTGAAACACAGATTTTTACTCACCCAGGCCAGCGGAGGGAAACAACAAGAGCCCATCTCCTGGTCCTTCCTGTGCTGAGATTTCCGCAGTCTGGAGAGCGAAGGTTCGAATCTGAAAAAGAGGTGAGGCTTCCGTCAAGCAGGGTCTCCAGAGTCAGACTGACCGGCACCGCCTACCGGACCGTCCTCACAGGGTCTCCTGAGTCAGAGTGACCGGCACCGCCTACCGGACCGTCCTCACAGGGTCTCCTGCGTCAGACTGACCGGTACTGAAACAAACACACTGGCTGGGCCTCTACAACCCTGGTTTTCTGCCAACATTTGCATTTGATTTTGCACTTGAGGGTTTAACAGGTTCCCAACCGTGGAATTTGCTCTTTCAGATTTTCTGGGATTCATTTGGAAAGTTTTCAGGTGCAAATCTAGAGGAAAAGAGTAACTCTAATAAAGTTAAATTAAAGTGGAGTTCAGTTTGCAAGGTGGTATAATCAAAAAAAGTTGCTGCAATATACAGTATTATGATTGGTATATTTTACTTTTACTGCTCTGTACTCAGGAGCTCAGATATTTATTTAAACAAATACTTTTTGCCAAATGCGACATTTTAGACCTCTCCCATCCTTCTTAAACCTTGGGATGATCCCTGCAATTTTATTCCTGAGACTGCAAGAATTGAAAACAATTACAAATAACTCATTTACAGAGTTACTGTATCATATAAGAGTTCAATGAAACAGTTAAGTGGAAGAAATGCAGCATTGGGGAGCCCCCATTGTGCAGATCGTTAATTCTAATTACCATAAATAATTTGCTCAGTATGACCAGTGACCAAGCGGTCATCTTACCTTCCCTTGTGGGTGGTACAGCCTGTTGCTGTCCTTCGCTGGCGTATCTTCTGCTCTTCTGGGTATGAAGGGACACAGGTACCTTCCATTTATTTCACTTATTGTGGGCGTCTCATGCATGATGGACATGTAGCTGGGTGTGGGCGTGTCCCCGATCGTGATGAGCTCAGCGTTGCAAGAAACTGGTGTGGGGGCTGTATTTCCATCGTCAAAGCTTTATCTTTCTCAAATAGCGAGACCACAATACCTGCCTTTCAGACACCATTTGGCTAACAATCTGATTCATCCTGGTTTCTACTGTTGTTGTAGGTGATATCAAGTTATCAAGGAGCACCTTTGGATAATACAATTGCTCCCCATCCCAGAAAGACAATATTCAAAAGACCCTCCCCCCCCACACACACTTTACTCATTGTGTGAAGAAGTGCACTCTGGTGTTAAGCCTCGAACACACTTCCCATTAGTTTCGGTCTTGAAGAATCCAGTTGGTGAGCTGTCAGTGGCTTTGGAGGATGTTGAACATTTGAACCAGGTCCGCTCTCAGTCTCCCTTGTTCCCAGCCAGAGAGGTGAGGTTCACTGTGATGTAGTACACTGAGTGGCTCTTCCACACACAGGCTGCACAGCAGAACTGCAGGTTTCCTGATGTGGCAGGCAGCATTGTTAAAACACGTTTCTTGTACAGACAGAACATCTG